AATGATGTCGAGCAAAAATTTCGAAGCATTTAAAATTCTTTCTTCTTTTTGAGTAACACAATTCTTTCTTCTTCTTGAGTAAGAGTTAAATTAAACATCGAATGACATGCACGCGTGCATGAAGAAAAAAAAAAAAAAAAAAAAAAGAAGAAAAAAGAAACGGAAAAGAGATAAAGAAAGAGAGAACGAGAGAGTAGACACAGTATATAATAAATTTCTAACAATTGAACGCTAGCCTTCTTTTTAATTCAACTCCCCTATTGTTGATATAATGAACATGAAATACCTATATGTGATATACATTATTATAAACATAATATTCGGATACAAGATATCATTGTTATTAATCTATAGAATAATTAGAAACGGCTTGTGTCCTGGGCGTAACACGTGGTCGTTTTATACTGTGAACGCTACGTAATCGTTGTACAGAATATTCTCTTTATATATATACATATATATAAAATATATATATATATATATATATATATATATATACGTCAATGCAGAGTACAATATAAAACAGCGTTTGTAGCTTCGTTTTCTAGAGAAGTAATTGTTCATCTGGTGTTGCATCCGCGTGAAATGTATTTGTATGATTTTTGACTTTCGACATGCTTTCTCACGTATTTAATATAAAGGAGCGTGTGTAAAGATCGTTGTTCCAGCGACGAAGGAAAGTTATATATATTAATCGATTCTCCGTCGCGTGTGAATCGTTCGGTGTGATCTTTTGTAATGTACAAAAGAAAGAGGACGTTGGATCGATAATTCCCAGTCGCATCTCAGGACACAAGTGGATGTGTAATGTAATTAGAAAATAGTGGAAGAATTCGTGGTAATAACTCTATATGCTTAGAGAGAGAGAGAGAGAGAGAGAGAGAGAAACGAAAGCAACAATAAGGAAAAAGTTAGACTTTTAAGAGGATAAAAGTGAAAAAAAAAAAGAAAAAAACACTATGTTGTTGATGTTTGTAAGCTTGAAATATAAATGTAACGCAGTTTTCGATATTCTATTACAATCCCAGTGCACCTGTATCGTTCGAAGAACTCGATGTCTTCTTATCTCTTACTTGTCTTATCTACTACACTTCCCCTTTTTGTGCATGTTTTTCGAACATCGCAAGCGACTGCGTTTTTGAGTTTCCAGCGCAGGGAAGAAGAAAGTAAGACTCTCATCGTCTAACATTATTCGCAATCGAAAGATATAGATTGGCACACACTTTTTCCCTTCACTATCTCAGAAAATCTCTAGCACCAACCACATACCCGATACAGTCGATTTTTCGATGGGATGTCGTCTCAACGACGATCGTCGAGAATGATCGATAAAAAGTGAAAGACCGTGTGTACACACTGTGAACGAAACACGGAAAGTAATCTTAAGGGAAGCATGCTTTGTAAATGATAACATTTCTTTGTATTTGTATAACGTTTAAAGCTAAATACCGACAACAAATCAAGTAAAATTGACGCGGGTTACAGAAGAAAAAAAGAAACAGGTGTTAACAATGATCACAATATCAATCACTTACAACGTAACGTGATTCATATACCGCTCATTTGCTCTTGGACATCTGCGTTTAGTTGACTTTTGCACTTGGCCGAGTCACGTCGACATATCAAAATGATCGATGACAATTGATCATGATGCGAGTACAAATAAAATCTCGTAGAAAGAACTAAAAATTGAAAAGATATTTGCCATTGAAAAGACTGTATCGCGGTAAGTAACGGAAGACGTATATTTTTTATTACACTTGAAAATCTCTATTTTTTTTTCTTTTTCCTATTACGCGATTCGTTACGAGTTTTATGAAGTTAGAGCAGGAAAAATATGTTATTTTTTTTTGCTTCTTTTTCTTTTCTTTTTTTTTTCTTTTTTTTTTGATTATCATTAGAAACATTACGGAAAACAGAAAAACGATGAACGTGCATCGATAAATAGCGTTCGTTTTAATTTACAAGAGTATTTTTTACTTTTTTGATTGCAATGAGACAACAAATTGAAAGGATCTTTGCAATGTGAGAATAGGCACGGTATGCAATTATTCTCATTATTCCTTTTCCCTCTTTGTTTTTTTTTCCCCCTTTAATGAACCTTGTTACTTTGCGGCACTTGGGTACAATTTTTATTTTCCTTTGTCTTCTTTAAATCTCTTTCCTTTTTTTTTTTTTTTGCCTCTTTTGTTATTTTGTGTTCGATCTGAAACCACTGAAGGGAATTTACAAATAATATAGCATCTTTTTCGAGCCTGTTTTACACAATCTTAACCGACGAATTTGATTAAAAAAAAAAAAAAAAAAAAAAAAAAAAACCACTTAAGATACCGCACAACTGAGGACTACTAGTCAGTCATAAGGTATCTCTAAGGTTTTGTAATCTTTTCTTTTCTTTTTTTTATACGATCGTTACGTATCAATATTGGTAAAGATTATGCTCGTACTTTACATGCCGGTAAATACATAGTAAAACAAGCATATCGTAAAGTTCTACACAGTTAAGATTCTCTTCTTAAAGCGCGTTGCTTCTAAGACTTTCGGACTAACACAAAGTGATGTTTAACGACGTATGTATTTGCAAAATGAATTTTTATAGATTTTTAAGCGTTAGTAGCTCGTACACATGTTCAATAAAGAGATTGACATAGTTGCTAAGTGATAAATTTAATTTTTTCGATTTACATGATATTCGCAGAAGGAAAAATGTCTAGAATAATTTTTATTTAATAAAAGTTTTGACAAATGACGGAAAAATTGTATATAGGATTTTCAATTAAAACAAATAATTTCGAAGATTTCGTTATTAGGCAGTTTGTAATTTGTAAACTATTAATTATGAGTAAAACTTGAAAAACTATTTTATATAAATATAAGAATGATATGTAATAAATATGAAAGTAAATTGATCGCTATATATATATATATATAT